AGCTGTCATATAACTGAACGATCGGAAATGGTTTTTGGAAGAAATACCAAGTTTTGTATTGTTAAAGATAGAAGTTTGGGACTTGTTTTAAATTTTGTATTATAATAAATTGGGGTATATTATCATATTCTAATAAGGATCGGACAACTATATCCGATGTTTGCGATATATATCCGGTTTTAACTGCAAGGGTATATAAACTTCGGCTCCGCCCGAAGTTAGCTTTGCTTTCTTGTTTTTTTTATATTTTTGAACTTTTTTTTTGATTATTAAATTTAAATTATGGAATTTAAGCTCGTCTTCTCAAGTCAGTCTTATAACATGACAATCTCCTCATCATAGCCTTCCATCCATTTCTGCATTTGTGAGAAATGGATGCCTAGGTCTGGTCTACATTATGTTTTGTTATAATTGTCGTGCTGTCCAAGACGAAATGAGGACCTTCATGAGACATACTAACAATGGATTTAAAGAGTAGATCAGTGGTTTTCAAATAAATCAATGACAAGATCTGCGGGCATGACACTCAGTTAAGCGGCCTTCAGCTTCCCTCAGAAATTCTCAGTGTGCAACGCAGTGAAGGAGTCATCTCCGACCCTATAAAGTATATATATTCTTGATCAGTATCACCTCCTGAGTTGATATGAGCATGTCCGTCTGTCTGTCTGTTTCTATGCGAACTAGTCTCTCACTTTTAAAGCTATCGACTTGAAACTTTGCACACACCCTTCTTTCCTTTGCACGCAGTATATAAGTCACAACGGCCGGATCAGCCGACTATATCCTATAGCTGCCATATAACTGATTGATCGGAAATAGTACAACTTTGGTGTTTTTAGAGTTACACGAGAGCTATTTTTGGCAAAATAATACGACATGCCTAATTTCATAAGGATCGGTCGACTATATAGCTATAGCTCCCATATAACTGAACGATCGGAAATGACCCAACTTTTGTGTTTTTGAAGATAGAAAGCTGGAACTTAGACCAGATTCTATTTTTAGTCGATCCAACCTACCAAATTTCATAAGGATCGACCGACTATATCTTATAGCTGCCATATAACTGAACGATCGGAAAGGGTTTTTGGTAGAAATACCAACTATGGTATTTTTGAAGATAGAAGCTTGAGACTTTTTATACCCTTGCAGAGGGTATTATAATTTTGTCAAAAATTGTGCAACGTAGTGAAGGAGATATCTCCGACTCTATAAAGTATATATATTCTTGATCAGGATCACCTTCTGAGTTGATATTTTTTTTTTTTTTTTAATCGTTTATTAATAAAGAAATACTTAGAACTAAGCTCTAACAAAAAATAAAAATAAAAAGTTTCTACTGAATCCCTGTCCCCTGCGGTAATGCCGCTAGGCTTTGCTTCGCAGGGCCAGGATTGGCGTGCTTATGCGCCTCACTACTGTTGGCCTAGGCTAGCCTAGCCTCCGCTCGGAGTCGCTCTAGCCTTCTCAGCTCCTTCATCATATAGGCGGCGAAGCTACTCATGCCTGCCCAGAACTGGGCGTCGTCCAGTAGCCTCCTTCCGATGACGTCCGCCGTCGCTGGAATTTGGTACAGATTATATTTTTGGTCAGTTGATCCAACCTACCAAATTTCATTAGGATCGGCCGACTATATCCTATAGCTGTCATATAACTGAACGATCGGAAATGGTTTTTGGAAGAAATACCAAGTTTTGTATTGTTAAAGATAGAAGTTTGGGACTTGTTTTAAATTTTGTATTATAATAAATTGGGGTATATTATCATATTCTAATAAGGATCGGACAACTATATCCGATGTTTGCGATATATATCCGGTTTTAACTGCAAGGGTATATAAACTTCGGCTCCGCCCGAAGTTAGCTTTGCTTTCTTGTTTTTTTTATATTTTTGAACTTTTTTTTTGATTATTAAATTTAAATTATGGAATTTAAGCTCGTCTTCTCAAGTCAGTCTTATAACATGACAATCTCCTCATCATAGCCTTCCATCCATTTCTGCATTTGTGAGAAATGGATGCCTAGGTCTGGTCTACATTATGTTTTGTTATAATTGTCGTGCTGTCCAAGACGAAATGAGGACCTTCATGAGACATACTAACAATGGATTTAAAGAGTAGATCAGTGGTTTTCAAATAAATCAATGACAAGATCTGCGGGCATGACACTCAGTTAAGCGGCCTTCAGCTTCCCTCAGAAATTCTCAGTGTGCAACGCAGTGAAGGAGTCATCTCCGACCCTATAAAGTATATATATTCTTGATCAGTATCACCTCCTGAGTTGATATGAGCATGTCCGTCTGTCTGTCTGTTTCTATGCGAACTAGTCTCTCACTTTTAAAGCTATCGACTTGAAACTTTGCACACACCCTTCTTTCCTTTGCACGCAGTATATAAGTCACAACGGCCGGATCAGCCGACTATATCCTATAGCTGCCATATAACTGATTGATCGGAAATAGTACAACTTTGGTGTTTTTAGAGTTACACGAGAGCTATTTTTGGCAAAATAATACGACATGCCTAATTTCATAAGGATCGGTCGACTATATAGCTATAGCTCCCATATAACTGAACGATCGGAAATGACCCAACTTTTGTGTTTTTGAAGATAGAAAGCTGGAACTTAGACCAGATTCTATTTTTAGTCGATCCAACCTACCAAATTTCATAAGGATCGACCGACTATATCTTATAGCTGCCATATAACTGAACGATCGGAAAGGGTTTTTGGTAGAAATACCAACTATGGTATTTTTGAAGATAGAAGCTTGAGACTTTTTATACCCTTGCAGAGGGTATTATAATTTTGTCAAAAATTGTGCAACGTAGTGAAGGAGATATCTCCGACTCTATAAAGTATATATATTCTTGATCAGGATCACCTTCTGAGTTGATATTTTTTTTTTTTTTTGTAATCGTTTATTAATAAAGAAATACTTAGAACTAAGCTCTAACAAAAATAAAAATAAAAAGTTTCTACTGAATCCCTGTCCCCTGCGGTAATGCCGCTAGGCTTTGCTTCGCAGGGCCAGGATTGGCGTGCTTATGCGCCTCACTACTGTTGGCCTAGGCTAGCCTAGCCTCCGCTCGGAGTCGCTCTAGCCTTCTCAGCTCCTTCATCATATAGGCGGCGAAGCTACTCATGCCTGCCCAGAACTGGGCGTCGTCCAGTAGCCTCCTTCCGATGACGTCCGCCGTCGCTACTTCCCCAAGGAGTCTCCGCCTGGGCTCCGAAAAACGTGGGCAGTCCAGGACCACATGCTCTGCCGTCTCATCTTCCCCACAAACAGGGCACCTTGGGTCATCATTATGTCCATATTTGTAGAGGTAACTCCGAAAGCATCCGTGGCCGCTGAGAACCTGCGTGAGCCAGAAGTTCACTTCTCCGTGGCTTCTCTGGAGCCACTTCTTCAGATCGGGGACTAGTTGGTGGGTCCATCGTCCCTTGGTCGACTCGTCCCATCGTTGTTGCCACTTCTGTATACTCGAAGCTCTCGAGTTCTCTTTTGGCCGACGGCGTGTCGCTGCCGGAGTTAACCCGCTCAGCGCTACTAGGGCCTGATGTAGCTCTTTTCGCTCCGTCGCTAGCAGGTCGAATGGTACCATGCCTGCTATGACGAGAGCTGCGTCATCGGAGATTGTGCGGTAGCCCGAGCACACCCTTAAGGCGCACAGTCTATATGTGCTGGTCAGTCCTTGGGTATATGACCTTGTCTTTGCTGCATCAGCCCACACGGGGGCTGCGTAGAGCATCGTTGCGCTGCAGACGGTCTGGAGAAGTAAACGACGTCCTTGCTTCGGGCCCCTGCAGTTAAGCATTATCCTCCCTAAAGCTCTGGCGAAATTCGCTGCCTTGCGATTTGCTTCTGCGAAGTGCTCCCTGAAGCTAAGCCTTGTGTCCAGCGTTACTCCAAGGTATCTGATGGCCCTGGATGAAGTGACCACATGTCCTCCTACGGTGATTGAAGCCGACTCCACTCGCTTCCTGCTCGAAATCAGGACAGCCTCCGTCTTGTGGTGGGCTAGGCTTAGCCATGCCTGTTCCAGCCATCCGATGACGTTTGCTATTGCAGCATTGCAGTGCTCTCCTGCTTCCTGGCGACTTGATCGTCTTGGCGACGACTACTACCGCGATATCATCAGCGAATCCAACAAGGTGTGTCCGTTCCGGGAGCTCTAGTCTGAGGACCCCGTCGTACATCACGTTCCACAGTGCTGGGCCTAAAACTGAGCCTTGAGGGACGCCGCAGCTGGCCGCGTGTTCTCTGGTGCCTGAGGTCGTCTCATACCTAATAGTACGGTCGCTGAGGCCTTATGACCTTCACGATGCAAGTCGGCACGCGGAGCTTTCGCAGTGCCTTCACTATGACATCCCATCTGGCTGTATTGAAGGCATTTTTGATGTCCAGCGTGGCGATCAGGCAATACTCCTTGCTTCCGCCCGCCCATCTGGTCCCCTCGATTGCCTTGGCTGCGATCCTCCTGACCAGGGAAATTGCATCGACCGTGGAACGGTGTTCCCTGAACCCGTATTGAAGTGGGGAGAGATCTCCCGCGCAGATTACCGCCTCCTGAAGCCTCCGGCATATCCAGCGCTCTAGGGCTTTGCCGGCATGGTCGATGAGGCAAATCGGCCTTAAGGACGACGGATCCTCCGGCGGCTTGCCTGGCTTTGGGAGCAGGACCAGGCTTTGCACCTTCCATCTTCTAGGGAAAACGCCTTCCCGTAGGCATGCGTTGAAGACCCTGGCGAACCAGTCCGGGCACGCGGTCATCGCCAGTTTGATTACGATGTCTGGGATCCCATCTGGACCAGGGGCTTTTCCGACCTGGATAGTCTTAGCGACTTCCACGATTTCGTGGGCGCCTATTTCCTGAGCCGGCGTACAGCCGGCAGGTTCCCTTGCTCCACTTGGCCCAGAACACTCCACTCCACTCGGCTGCTTCGGGAAGAGGTGCTCCACAATGGCTCTCATTGCTTCGGCTTCTTTTGGGGCGATCACCAGGGCACCGGTTCATGGTGTCTTGAATGCCCGCGGCTACACCTCATGCTGGCTCGGCAGGCCTGTAGAACCGCAGCCATGGTGTTGTGAACTTCGCATTCTACGTCGCCTGAAGGATCTGGAATCCTTAGTTCCTCTGCGAATTTTAGCGGTTGCAATGAAGCCGGGTTGAATCTTGATGACCTCGCTGCTGTGGGAGCTTGCTCTCTATCCTCTAAATCGCAGACTATGTATTTGTGGTCGCTCGCAGTGTAGTCATTGCTGAGGGACCACGTTGTCCTCCGATACAAACCACTGCTGCAGAAGGTAAGGTCCACGATTGATCCATACCCCGCCTTGCTGAACGTGTTTTGGGAGCCGGTGTTCAGCAGGGCTACGTCGAGAGTCGCAAAGGTCTCTTGGAGGGTTCGACCCCTAGCGTTGGTGCGCGTTGAGCCCCAATCCTCTGACCAGGCGTTGAAGTCGCCAGCGATCACCACCTGGGATCTGTGCCTTGCGTCCTGGGCTATCTCGTCTAATATGTGGGTGAACTGCTGCAGTGTTAGGCGCGGGGGGAGGTAGCAGCTGTAAATCCAGAGCGCGCACTTTGGCCCTGATGAATCCTACTCTGGGTTGTACGCTTTCGGGTTGTCTGCCTGCCCAGATAGCCGCTGTCTTGGAGGAGTCCAGGATGTAGCTTTGCGTCTCGACTTTTTTGTACGGCTCGCTTATTAGGGCTATATCTGCCCGCTTCTCTCTTAAGACCTGCTCGAGTAGGCTATGGGCTACTTCGCAGTGGTTGAGGTTGATCTGGATGATCCTCATTCTCTGCTTTGGGCCGCTGCATCAGGTTTGCCGAGAGGGCATCTCTTTCCGCCAGCTACGTGGGCCCGCTCTGCCTTGTTTGCAGCTGCGCAGAGGAAGCACTCAGCCGCGTTTGTGCAGGAAGCTACCTTGTGACCTGGCTTACCGCATCTAAAGCACCAGTCGCTTCTGTCAGTCCGCTCTTTGCAGAAAGCGGCGATGTGCCCGAAACTGAGGCATCTGAAGCAGCGACGCAGGGCCTTGCGCTCCCTGACTCTGCACATGGTCCATCCTATCCTAATCCTGCCTTCGGACAGGATCTTCGATGCCAGGCTCGGCTCCACTCCCAGAAAGGCTACCTGAGTTCCAGAGAAGCCTGGGCGAAGGGATTTTACCCTGATGGCCTCCTCCTGTCCGCTCGTTTGGGCTTTAATAGCTGCCACAATTTCGTCCTTCGTGGTGAGGTCGTCCAGGTCGCGGATCTCGATGGTGGTCTCGCCTGTGACCGCACGAACGCTCGCTGCCTCGCCCAGCACCTGGGAAAGCGTCTGCCGCATCTTGAGCGCGTTTGCATCCTTCGCTGCCAGTTCCAGCAGGAGGTCGCCTTTTGCCGTGCGCCGAATCTTTCTGACGTTTTGGCTGACATCATTTAGTTTGCCATCTTGCCGTCGGGTGACCATTTTGAGGACCTCGCCGTATGTGGAGCCTGCGTTCCCCGTTATTATGAGTACATCGGGGCGGCTCTTCTTGGGCTGGCTTGCCTTGGCGTCCTTTTTGCCCTTATGGTTTGCCCTATTTGGTGGTGGTATCTGTCGTGGGCGGTTCGTCCTTGCTACTTGGCTGTACGACGCTCGCTCCGGTGAGGTCTGAGTAGCTTGCTCACCTCGAGAACTGCTGCAGCCCGGTGCTTCCCCGCTGCAGCCGCACCTGGCCCTTCCTGCCTGGCTCGGGGCAATGAGGTTTTGATCCCTCAATTGCTCCTGCAATTCTTTCAGTCTCGCAAAGGAGTTCTTCATGACCTGGTTTATGCTTCGAACCTTTTGGTCGTTCACCTTAGCCAAAAGGTCCTCCAGGATCGCGCCCATCTCGTCTATGGGGGTTAGCGGCATTTTGGATTTTTTCCCCGGTTGGGAATTTCCTGGCGGAGACTGCTCGTCCCGATGCCTCTTCGGGGTGTGATCGCTCGCCGTCTGCTTGGGGGGGTTCTCTTTAATTTATTTCCACGCCCGAAAGCCTGGAGCTCATCTAGCGTGTCACTTGTAGCTGATGCTGGGTCACCGGCCAAGTGCGCCGCCGATGAAGCAGTTATTTTTGGAATGTGAGGTAGGGCCTCCAGAATCCTTGCCCTGACCGCGGGTGGGTGCCACCTGGAGTAATTTTGTTTAAATCTTCCATTCCGTTTTGTTCTAGTTGCATTTTATACCTGCTGCCAGGTTTTTTTTGCAGTTTATACCTCCTGCCAGGTGAGATAGCTGCCGGCCAATGTGGCGCAGACGCAGACCACGCCGCCGCCCATTGTGGGTCAGACGCAGCGTGGGTTTATTTCGATGGGGGGGGGAGGGACGAAGGAGAAGGAGGGACATCCATCGAAGCTACGATGGGGGGGGGGCGGTCAGTGTTGGACAGTCGTTTCCCAGCACTGTAGATCAGCTGTTATTGGGGAGCCGCAGCCTCAACCAAAGTGTTTGCCGCGGATTTTCCCGCGGAACAAGGGCAGAGGAAGCCACAGGGAGAGAGTAGCGGAGAAAAGCCAAGAGAGGCACTGCTTACCCCTTTCGCCCCTGTCCTAGGAGTCAGGAACAGGGTAGGAGCCACCAGCGTTCTAGGGTCTCTCCTCCTACGACAGGTGAGCATAGCTTGTACCTCGCAATGGTCACCTGACGTCTTGTTTTCACTATACGATTGCAGCACGACCGGGAAAAACTACGATTTGCTCGGAGCGCGCCCGCGGTGCGTCCGTACTGTGCAACCGTCAACTTCAACTTCCAACCTTCTGAGTTGATATGAGCATGTCCGTCTGTCCGTCTGTCCGTCTGTCTGTCCGTTTCTACGTGAACTAGTCTCTCAGTTTTAAAGCTATCGTGTTGAAACTTTGCACACACCCTTCTTTTCTTTGCACGCAGTATATAAGTCGGAACGGCCCGGATCGGCCGACTATATCCTATAGCTGCCAAATAACTGATTGATCGGAAATGGTTTTTGGTAGAAATACCAACTTTGGTATTTTTGAAGATAAAAGTTTGGGACTTTTTTAGATTTTATATCATAATAAATTGGGATATATTATCATATTCTTATAAGGATCGGCCAACTTTATCCGATGTTTGCGATATATATCCGGTTTAAGCTGCAAGGGTATATCAACTTCGGCTCCGCCCGAATAAAAACAAATAAAAAAAATTTATCTAAAAAAGGCTAGAATGTTATAATAAATCATCGGTATCAGAGAAAGGCATATCCAGCTGCATTATTAGAAGCAAACTTCTAACATCATCGTCCATAGTAATTGTTTTTGTAGAAGAAATGGGTACTTGACAATGAAATTATCAAAAGGTCGGAAGAACCTAATAAGGCATTAAACACATCCTCCATGGTATTTTTTCTGCAATTTTTCTGTCTTTGCTCTCACAAAAGAGGTGATCAATTCTAAAGCCACCCACTAAAATTTTTTGGTAAAATATTTGATATTTGGCCTTTAATATTTTCATTTTCTTTGCGAATTAAGACTGTCGATTCTTTCTCGCAAATTAGCTTAATGGGTCGACAATATCGAGTTGAAGAAGGTCTATTGATTTTTCATAAAACTATCGGTCCGCTCTGCCCTGCTAATGGCAACATACAAATTGAAAATAAATATTGATCTATTATGTTTCCACCAAAGACATCAAAATTTTTACGGTAGACGCTGTGGGGTATGTCTACCCTGTGGGGTCTACCCTGTTGGGGTAGACATACCCCACAGCGTAAGCTCTTTGTCAGCGTTTACCAATGGAACCAACTGTGAAGCAATGCGTATTAAAAATATGCGTATTTCTTCCACAGGCTTTGCCCTATTTGCTAATCTCGAACTGCTCTTCCAGAGTATTATTAAGATTTTTCACAACAGTACCAAATATAAAGTTTTCCATGACAACACAACGACAACAAACTTCTTGGTTAAGATAACTTTTGGGATGACTAAAAGTAGATCCCTCTTAGCTACTGAAATTGTGCCTAAAAAGTACCTTAGAATGCTATCAGGTAATAGCAGTTCATATTACACATATTGGACGTTTTTACGCGTTCGGCTAATAAAAGAGTTGGATTAAATCTACTTGAATCTGGAAATTTCGACTCCACGAAAGACAGGTGTCGGGTCAAGCAGCAAGCAACTAATTTAAACACAACAATTAATTAGTAACTGATGTTTTGCTGGTCGCAAGCCGACTCTCTATCGGCCGCTCGGCTTTGCTACTTCGGCGTTTATAGTTAGCGAGCATCCGCTCAGCCTATTCTGCAAGGTTGGCGCCACTCTCGTTCATCTCCTTACTGCGCTCGCATCCTAAATTGGATTTCCCATATTTTCTATAAATCCTCATAAATCCTTATTTCATATGCGGCCTGAATAAAGTTATAACGTTGAACCTAATTAAATTCTGATTTTTTATTTACGGCATTGAAAACGCTCGATGACCAAACTTTGGTGAACCCCGACGTGATCGTTAATATATTTATATACACATAAACAAATTACTAAAACAAAAACAAAACAATTTTGTAAACAGTGTTATGTGAAAAATTATAATTATCAAATTATCATACGTGGCTAATAAGTTTATTTACAATAATAAACAAATTATAATATATTATTAAATTATACATACATACAGGAATAAACATAAACGTTAGTTCACAAGCACACATACATATTTACGATCCACAACGCAAGTGCATTCTCCCGCGCATAGACTTCATACAAACATACGATCCACAACGCAAGTGCATTCGCTCGCACATAGCTTCATATATATATACATTCCACAATTCCGCTACGGTTCTGAGCGCACAGTGGGACAGATCGTGTTCGCCGCGAGCAAATAAAATTTATTTCGGGTTGTTCGGAACTCAATTTAATAAACCATGAACTCCAGCGGCGCCGTCACAGGAGCACCCACTCCAACCCGGAGTGCTATTTTAAAGTGCAAGGCCCTGGGTATTCTCCAGGACTTACAGAGGATCCAAGGAGCTCTTCAGCCTATTTCCAAGGTGGATGATGCCATGCTACACGTGCGACATGGTCAGATAGCCACCATGTTCAGCGACTTCAAGGCAGATCAGCAGTGACCTTCGATGGACTGTTTCGGAGCTCGTAGCGACGATGCAGGCGGAAATTGAGCACGAGACGACCCTTCGCTCATCTCGAATTGCTGCCCACCCCACCCTTGCCAACGGAATGTCCACCATGCAGGCTGACCCAGGGTTAGGTCAAAGTTTTCAAGTGCTGCCTCCTTTGCCGCTCCCTACGTTCAGCGGTGGATACTCGGAATGGGCTGAATTTTACTCGATCTTCTCTACCATCGTCGGCAGTAATCCTCGTATTAGTAAGGTGGAAAAGTTGCAAAGGTTGCGATCTTGCCTTCGGGAGTCCGCTTTCGAAGCAGTTCGTTCCTTGGAAGTCTCCGACGAGAACTATGATGTTGCGCTGAATTTATTGGAGAAACGATTTAATAACCGTCGCTTAATATTTCAGGCACACGTGAACGAGATTCTGGGCCTCAGTCTGTTGGAAAGTGGCCCAATAGCAGCTCTTCGAAGTCTTTCGGACAAATTTAATGCCCATATGCGAGCCTTACAGAATTTGGGTACTTCAGTTCAGATCGCCAGCTGCATCATCGTCCAAGTTCTGCTTCAAAGGTTGGACCCAGCTACCCAGGCCAAGTGGGAGGAGAGTCAAAACTCCTCAGGTTCAGACCCCATCCCCACTTAAGAGTCGATGGCCGATTTTTTGGAGCAGCGGTGTAGGACGCTGGAGGCTATGGACG